TTCTACAGATCCTTGAAGTGGTTGAAGATTATCTATCTAGGCAGAATACAATCTCTATTTACCCAAAGAACCTAATTAATCTGACTATATGTATAACAAATATTATTATTTAATACCTGTATAATTTAAAGACTAAAACTTCCTGTCAGATCATCATATAATCTTATATGTATATGTATATATATATGAATATATAGATCTGAATTTGGAGTTGGACAATGGCTTTGACCACATGTCCTCATAAATAATACTCCCTTTTCTTTATGTTCTTGATAATACTTATTGGATAGTTATTTTTCCTTCTGTCAGCATCCAAACCTCCAGGGTATCTTGAATTTTTGCAGATGTGTATTTTCTGAAAAGACAAGAGCAGAACTCTGCCCCAACTCTATATGATTTACTTACCACTTGTATAGTTGTCATCACTGTGGGTGGTGGCACATGCCAGTAGGATTTGCCAGTAGGATTTGCTGAAGGAGGCAACCAGAGAATCACGCGTCCCACCTGAGCTTCTGCAAGTGACAGAAAATATATTCCCAGAAGCCAGCCATGCAGTCGCAAATGGTCAAGGTGCATGATGACTTGGATTGGCTCTGAGGCATTTAATGAGAAGATATGAAGCACTGCATCTAGTGGCTACTCAAGGCCACTGTGAGGGAATTCGATACCCAAATGAGCAGCTGGAGACCCAACCGCCATGTTGGGGGCCAACTGTAGAAGTTAGCTTGATTCTGGAAATAACCAGCCTAGTTAAAAGGTAAAACAATTATATTTTTATTTATTATAAGGATTAAACTCATGAAACAGCAATGAGAAAGAAGTCCAAGCTCAACTATGCTGCAAGGGAAGCACACAGAGGATATTTGGGTCATGTGCCATTTTTCTCTGGGTCCCAAAAAGCCACACCCTAACTTTGTCCTACCTCTTAAAGATAATTGGTTGGCAACATTTCCCATCATTGATTAGTATATATTAGTTAATGTTCAAAGTATGATAGAACTCTGCCTATATGTATCTGTCCTTATTTCTATCCCTCTTCTATCTCTCCTCTCCCTTTCTCCTTCCTTCCCTCTCTCAATCTCTCTCACACTCTCATTGTCTCTATTTTTGTATCTGTGGGTTTTGTTTTGTTTGTGGCAGCTTGTCACTTTGTAGTCTGCACTGGTTTCAAAATCTGTGTTTCTTTGGCTTCCCTGGAACTAGAGGTCTTCCAACATCCAGTGTTCTCATGCTGAAACTACATAGAAATTTATCATCATACCTGATATCTAGTTCACACCGTGGGGGAACAAATTTCTTATTTATCATGAGATGTTCCATCTGGATCTTTTTGTTAAGAGTGCACAGTTATCGAGACTGTGAATTTTGTTTAAATAGGAGATAGACAGATGTTAAGATCAGCTTCTGTGGAGAGAGGGAGAGAATGAGTAGGTGTTTTCCCTCTGGAAAAATTTGTACACAAATACTTGAGCAGAGAGGGGTATAATCTCTTTCAAAACTTGAATTTTGAATGGCCCCAGTATTCATGTTCTCTTCCTTGTCAGGCAATGTAACTAATTTCCTTTCCTTTCCTCTCCTCTCCTCTCCTCTCCTCTCTTCTTCTTTCCTTTCCTTTTCTCATTCTTTTTCTATTCTTTCCTTCCTTAAATATTTCTCTCTCTCCCTTCCTCCCTCTCTCTCCCTTTCTTTCTGGCATAAGACTAACTGCCCCCCCCCCCAGAAATGATAATACTGAATTCCACTCTGTTTTGTTCTAGAATCCCACTCTATTATCCCATTTATACAGCTTTGTCCCTGTTCCATATGAATTACTGACTGAGTGAAGAGACACAAGGAACTTAAAAAAATCCTTTGAATGTACCTAAAACTACTTCATTCCTGCAAGAAGGACTATAAATGGCACTGCAAAAAGTGACTTTCGATGTTGTATCTGCACTCTAGACAATAAAGCAAGAGAGAAGAAGCTTGCTTCCTGATATCCATAGCCACTTATTCTTTGGCTCCATATCTGACAGTAGAGTTGTGATTAATTATTTAAAATGGATTCTATTCCAAAATTTAACACAGTGAACAATAGTGTTGAATGTCAGATGGATTACAAGCAAGAGAAAATGATACCCAACTTTACAATGAGTTTATACAAGTAGGAAATATGAGTTCTTTAACTTTGTTGATCTTTTTAAATTAATTTTTGTTTATTTCAAGTCTTTTTTAATTCCATTAAATTCTAGAATAGCTTTGCTTGTATTTTTGGAGTAAATAGCATTCTAGACACTAACGAACCAAAGTTTAGCTGCAATTTTTTTTTCTTTTTTGGATTGGCTCTGCTTGCTGCAGCTCTTTTAAGAGAAAGGTCAGCAGTAGCAGGAAAAGAAAAGCTATGAGGTTTCAAAACAGTAGCATCCTAGTTTGCCAGAACAAACAATTCTGACTCTTTTGGAAGGTCCAGCCAAGAAGCATTTAAATGGGATTTGTAAGAAAGCATATTACAAACTTCTTAATGGCTCAACATAGACCTGCTGCATCCGTGGAACTGGAGTGGTGTGTATGGCTTGCAGAGGCAGTAAACATACCTCCACCATGTTAGACTGGGTGGAGCCAAAAGACAAGAAAGCCTTAGCCCGAGTCATGCCAATGCTTAACTTTTCAAGAAGAGCTTAGCATTTTAAGAAGTACTACTAGACAGATTAAGGTATTGTGTTTGTAAAGCTCATTTAAAAATTTAAAGTATAATTAAGAAATATAGGTTAATATATAATCATCTATAATAGTCAAGCTTGTAGTCACATTAATTAGGTTTTCTAGATATACAGAGATGTGTTTTAGATGGATATTCCTCAGATCTTTCAAAGACTACAGAAATGGCATTTAAATTTTTTTAATAACGGGATTTTTTGTGACAATGAGACACATATGCTCCTGGAAACACCAATGTACTTCAAGATGGGCATCAAAAAGGTGCCTTATAGAGTTTGTTAGTCATTTGGGCAAGAAAGTGCTCTTGTCTAGACTGCTTGATGGTATGCTGTATGAACTGGGCATGCCTGATATATAGAAAATGACTTCTGAAGTTACCTAAAGATGGTGAGAAAGTCCTTCAGCATTTCTGCTTCATTTAAGAGTCTACCAGACATTCTGCAAAAATAGAAGAAATTGACTGACAAACTGCCAATAATGGTGGAACTGTCTTTGATATTTTCTGCTTCATGGAAAAGTATGCCAGATCCCATGGGCCTGTACCCTGAAGATCGATGCTCCAATAGTACAGAAAAACTTTGGGAGTTTGTCCAAGCAGCAAGATATCTGTCAATTCTATAGTTTTGGAAGTTGCTTAAGATGCACTTCCTGTTTACTTAGGCATATATCTTTCTGGAGTCTTTGACGGGGTTGAAGAATAGTTATAATTATAACCATATAATTATAGTTTGCCTTAGTTATGATAAGAGATGAAGTAGATATAAATATTGTACCTGTAATTCTTGTTTGATCCCTGTTTTATTATAGGTAATTTTACTATGTTAAAGTTAAAGCCTTCCTTTTTATTTAAACATAAAATAGGAAATTGTGTGGGAAATCCTTCTGTATATGTGTTGGGTTTTTTGGTTAATGAATAAAGAAGCTGGCTTGACCTGTGATAGGGCAGAGTAGAGCTAGGTAGGGAAAACTAAACTGAATACTGGGAGAAAAAAGGCAGAGTCATGAGACACCATGTAGCTATGAGAGGGGAAAGATGTGGGCTGCCAGTTGGAATCCTGCCGGTAAACCGTAAGCCTTGTGTTAAAATATACAATAATGGAAATAAGTTAATTCTAGATAGATGTAAGATCTAGTAGTAATACACTTAAGCTATTGGCCAAGCAGTAGTTGAAATAATATGGTTTCTGAGTGATTAGTTTGTGGTCTGGGCAGCTGGAAACAAACAAGTGGCTTCCTACAACAGAAAACCATTCTTGTAGTCTTAAATTACTAAATAAAGGCAAATGGCTCACTGTTGTAGCTTTTTGCTGATTTTTATTAAATGATTTATTTCATAATATGTGCTTTAGTTTATAATTTTATTATGAAGAAACTACTGTTGGGATGTTAGAGGACAGTTTTACTATTTGGATGTTAATTGTATTTGTACAGTAAATATTATATACATGAATGTATGTATGTTTTGACAATAATTTATTTAACAAGAACTTTAAAATAAACATGCAGGTATATATCAATGTAATGAAATAAAATTAAAACTTTAAAAATTGAGTCTTGTATTCATCACATAGAATGGGTGCAAGTTTGCTCCAGATACACTATGGTCGTTCAATTATAACATTTTCTTATCTACCTTTTAGGCATATCCATTATATATAAGACTGTGGAAATAGTACTTAAATCTCTTTGGTTGTCTAATTTGTCTTACAATATTTAAAATATTAGTATCAATGTATATCCCTTAGAGAGTTCTTAGAATGACTAAAAACTCTCAAGAAATACCAATTTTAAAGAGTTGGTTAAGCAAATTTAAACATCAATTCTCTTTCTTTCTTACCTGTAGATTATCAAGCCAACAACATAGACATAGGGAATACTTTTATCTTTACTTTCTGTCAAACCCAAAACAGCTTTATTTTCATTTTCTTTTTTATTGGTTAGTATCATATGGGAGATAACACTTATGAAATATTGGGTATATTTATTTTTAAGCGAATAGTTAAGACATTGCTTTGGAGAAGCTGCCCATCTTCAGATAGTTACATCATTAAGAATAATGGGCCATTTCTTTATCTGCAGTAAATAGCATGATGATACTACTTACCTAAGGCATTTTGCAGTAAGCCTTAGTCATTTATTAAATCTGCACTGGCAAATGCCCTTTTTTTTTTTTTGGCTCTGTAGCTCTCTAGATGTTTTGCTCAGAGATTTGGCATCCTCTAAGTGATAAGAGGTTTATGTGTCTGCTGTTATATAATGAGCTTCTGTGTCACTCAAAGAATCTAACTCAAGGAACAGTGAGAAGATGTGGTCTGCTCTTGCAATCCCCACTTTTTTGTTCCTGAGTCTTTTTTCAGTAGGATTAGCCTCAAATCCAGAGTCAGTCAGAGCTATAAATAAAAACTATCCTCCTTTTTGGGATCAAGTTAGTGGAGATATAACAGTATTTCCAGTGAAGGATAACAAAATCATCATTAATATCTGGAATTATGTGGATCGACTACAGATGTATAAGATTCTCATAACACAAACAAACAAATATTTCGTGCATATTGGAGCAAATGATACAGGCAACGTACTGTGGGCTCTCGCTTTAACTTATGGAAAGCTATATAAAACAGGTATGTACATTTTAATGCTTTCCAATACTTTTCTTTTTCATTACTAAGTTCTGAAATGTCTTTAAGTGTTACTGCTATTACAACCATTTCTCCGCCAGTGAAGAAATTCCTATGGTTTTTGGTCAATGATACCTGTAGTATTACATAGTATACTTGTCTTTACACTTCATAAACTTTCTGGTATGAGAGGAAGTACAGTCTTTTCTGCAAGTCCTTGTTCCATAAGCTATATGTGCACATAGCATGAAGGAGAAATATCCCCTCTAAATCAGCAATCCGCAGACCCCATGACCCAGCCTAACTATCTTCTTAGAGAAATTGGCACTACAAATACTTCTGTCTCAGGAGTTATGATTATTCCAGAAAAGATTACAAAACATCAGTTCACTAAGAAATCAAAGTGAAATTTCTTACAAAGAACAAATGTACAAGAATATACTTTTCCTTAAATGCCTGGATTTTGCCTCATTTTAACAGGAACAAAATCTAAGACGTGATACTTCCTGTGGTGTTCTTGAAGGAAAGTGTGATGACAGTGATTGAGTCACCCACTTACCCTGAAACAAGAAAGATGGGGTAACCATTTAAAGATGCAGGGCTTCACCTGTAAACCATGTTTCTGAAAAGTTCTTTTCTTTTTTTCCTGTGTTTTTAGCTGTATTTTTCTATCCAGTACATCTTTTCTAAGGTTCTTGAATCAGTTTTCTTACCACTGAGGCTTTCTAAAATTTAGTAGATTTCCCCATTCGTGATATTTCTCCCAACTTGTCTTCTTTGACTGTGACTAGACCCAGAGCAATCATAGAATGAAACAATGCTAGAACTACACATATTGTTGCAGAAATTTGGTTTCTGTTGATTACAGTTGCTTCATCAAGTGCTCAGCCTTTGTGGGAAGAATGACTTGGCACTCAGAAGCCACCTGGGAAGTGTAAGCTTCTGCATAAGGATTTCTAAAAACAGATAAATTTATTTATGTATGTATGTATGTATGTATGTATGTATGTATTTTACACCCGGGCAGCAGTTTTCCCTCCCCTCTCAGCCCGCCCTCCCCACTCTGTTCCCAACTCCCAATCCACTCCTTCCTTTTTGTTTAGAAAAGGATAGGTCTCCTGTGAGTATCAACAAAACATGACAGATCAAGTTGCAGTAAGGCTAAGTAACTCTCCATGTATTAAGGCTGGGCAAGGTGACTGAGTAAGAGGGATAGGGTCCCAAAAGCCAGTAAAAGAGTCAGAGACAGCCCCAATTCCCACTGTTAGTAGTCCCACAAGAGGCTCCAAGTTATACAACTGTAACATAAAAGCAGAGTGCTTACATCAATCCCACACAGGCTCCCTGATTGTTGGTTTGTCTCTTGTGAGCCCCTATGAGCCCAGGTTAGTTTATTCTGTGAGTTTTCTTGTGCTGTCAATTGGGACTTTTACAGAGGAGCCTCAGACTGCTTTCCAACTGACAAAACTCCAGATGAAACTCCAGGTCCCTCTTTTCACTAGCAAGGACCCCTTCTTCCTACATTTGCTTTTTTCTGTTCTGCCTTTTCTCATGAGTCGCTATTAAAAGCCTGAACGTTTGTGCTGGACATTTTTACCTACTCCTTTTGCTCTGCAGGTAGATTTTCAGACCCTTCCAATAGCTCAGCGTATGTTTATGATGCTGGATCTCCTAGCTATATATCAGTCAATAGTGGCTGGGGAGGTAAGTGTTCTCTTTGGACTATGTGCCTTTACTGATCTGTGGGCATGATACTTGCTTCTTCATGGTGTGGGATTGATTAGCTGAGGTGAATACTACCATTTCCTTGGAGAAGATACACAAGTTTCTCTTCAGTTTTCTTTGGTACAAATCAAATAAAAAAATATACAGGTAGTTCTTACTGTAACCTATTCTGAATTAAGACACACAGTCCATTGTTGCCTTGAGTGTTGAAAATGACAAATTTCTTTCTCCTTAAGTACCCAGGATTTGAGTTGTTTATTCTCCGTCTTTTCGGCTCTATTTATATCAAGTACTATCTATTCTGTTTGTAAGTGTACTACATGATTTATTAAAACTCTTCAGAGGCATGTTTCAAATCAGTTTTGATGACAACATAATTAGATGTTGAAAGCAATTGAACAATTTATCTCTTTATCCTTCTATTCCAAAACTCTTTTTATTATACACTGATTTCTCAACTTTTCTTCTGCTAGCCTATTATTCTGCTAAACTTTTCTTCTGAAACAAATAGACAAAAAGGTTGCTTATGAACTTGTATTCAAACTAACTCAGTCACTTTAGGGCCTTACAGAAAAACATCACACTAGCCTGATTCTGATAGACACAGTGGTCATCAGAGTCCCCTTCATAATTAAAACCCATAGAAGATAATATTCTAAAGGTGAGTTATCTAAATGTTTCAAAACAATAGTCATGTTTTATAATGAACAAAATTACTTTAATTCTATTACAGTTATCTTGAAGTAAAATTCATATCTCATTCACAATAGCCTCAACAACAATCAAATGTCTAGGGATAAACCTAAGCAAGGAAGGGAATGACTTCTACAATGAAAAATTTAAGTCTCTGAAGAAAAAAATTGAGGAGGACATGAGAAGTTGAAAGACTTCCCATGCTCATGGGTTGGTGGAATTATTACTGTGAAAATGACCACCCTACCAAAAGCAGTTTATCAGATTCAATGCAGTCCCAATCCAAATCATGATGCTGGACAGACCTAGCAATCCTAACCAAAATAAGCAAGGCTAGAATTATTACAATACCAGGTTTCAAGTTATGTTATAAAATTATAGTAATGAAACCAACATAACATGCTGGAGAGATGTCTCAGCAATTAAGAGCTTTGTTGTTCTTACAGATTCAATTTCCATCACATGGTGCCTTATAACCATTGGTAATGCCAATGACAGGACATATGGAGCCCCCTTTTAATCTTCATAGGCACCAGGCATTCACACAGTGCCCTTACATGTGTACATGAAAAGTGATCTCACAATGAAATAAAATAATTGTGAAAACATGGCTTATTATGTATATATTGTCGTGTCATATTAGCACAAAGAAAGACATGATTTGTGTGTTATCTCTACCAAAGTTCCTTGAGCTCTCCTAGTAGCTTGTGTTTCCTAGGGTCAACAGTTTCAATAGAATGGTTTGTGGTGCAAGTGGCTAAATTATTTAGGCAGAGTTTTATCTGTTTTGTTAATCACTATTTTGAGCAGGTGGTGCGTAATTCCAGACACTTTTCTTCTGCTCCCTTGCAGGTCTTAACTTCTTTGAGATTGTTATGAATTTCCTTGCTGCAGTAGAATCAAAGTTTTTGAATGTACCATATGAGATAGTGCTAGTATCTCGAGGGGAGAACAAGTCTGACTTCTGTTATTCTGTAAAGGAATGCAGGGCATCATACCCAGAAGCTATGGATGCAGCCGTAGAGTTTTATCAGGTAAAACAATGAGACTACTGCTTTTTCACCCAAGTGGCATATATGAAGATGGAGAAGAACATCCATTGCAGCTACAATTGAAAAATATACTGAGATTAATATTTGTGTAGGACATAAACTACAAGTATAGAATGATAAATTTTTTCTGGAATTCAGGTTGGTATTCTGAAATGTTGCTAAATGGATAATTAGCAGTAATTTAGCATGACTGAATTTATAAAGTTTTTAAATTAATATAGTAATTTTCAAATTTTGTTTATCTATGCAAGTGAACTAACATAAATATGAATATAAAACAAATAAGAAAATTAAATGTCACCTTCAAGTCTTAAATTTATCTTGATAATAAAATCTATTTCTATAAAATTAGCTGCAGCAATATTTCAAAGTAATCTGTTTTAACATTATGTGAGCTCAGTTATTAAAATTATTTGAGTTTGATATGAGTTCTATTCTCATAAATCCCATTGTTTATTCTGTAGTATTTGCAGTCCACGAGGCCAGCTCTTGGCAATGTTTCTGTTTATAACGCAAGTGAAGAGAGAGCAACCCTTCTAATGTGGAAGGCCCATCGGGCAGCTATCAATATTGGATTATCAAAATTCACCAACATGTAAGATAACTGCTTTATGTGATACAACCTCCTCTCTATTTTTCCTAGTACTGTAAACGATAACATATAGAATTTTTGTCTCAGAATTCAGTTCTCCTATTTTCTAGAATGTCTCAGAAAGCCCATTTTCCATTTATTTAATCTGCTAATCATTTGGTAAACCAGCAAAGAATAAAATGAAAGGTCAGTTGAATATATTCATATCTTTCCAAAAAAGGCCCACAACATTCTCTGAAAGTACCGTTTAAAATAAAGTAGTTCACTAAGCATAAACAATGTCTTATGAATGCAGCATGAAATAATTTTCTGTTGTTGGATTTCTGATTACACACATACACACACTTTCTTTTTTACTACCCATAGAATACTGGTTCTAGACTCTATATAATTATACACATCAACATGGTTGACTCTTGTGGCACATAGCTATTACTAACATTCACAAAACCCAGGCAGGTGGACCATGATATCAGGCTGGGCTTCATGAAAAGACTGTCTCAAAACAAAAGGAAAAAATAAACAATAGATATTTAAACAATTTTTGTAAAATCAGTAGTATTTACATTTAACTTGCATGTATTCTTTTGAGTGCTTTACATAATTTCTAGAATGATTATAACACCCAGTTCATTTATTCTTTTTTTTTTTTTTTTCCGAGACAGGGTTTCTCTGTGGTTTTGGAGCCTGTCCTGGAACTAGCTCTTGTAGACCAGGCTGGTCTCGAACTCACAGAGATCCGCCTGCCTCTGCCTCCCAAGTGCTGGGATTAAAGGCGTGCGCCACCATCACCCGGCCTCCAGTTCATTTATTCTGTAGAAATTGTTGCCCTGCGTTGTTTAAGAAATACAGAAGGACTGGAGAGATTAAGAGCTTAGCAGTTAAAAGCACTGACTGCTCTTTCAGAGATCCTGAGTTCAATTCCTAGCAATCACATGGTGCTCACAACCATCCATATTGAGATCTGGTGCTCTTTTCTGGCCTGTAGCCATACATATGGGCAGAGGGCAGAACACTGTATACATTATAAATAAATAAATCATAAAGGAAAAAAAGAAGGAAATGCAGAGGGGAAAATCGATGTACATATAATAGAATTGCATTTTTTCCTGATTTTATTTTTACTGTTACCTGGTTGGATCTGTGCACACAGAACCCATGGCTACAGGTGGCCATCTGTGTCAGGTAACTGAGAAGAGAAGGGGAGGAAGATTCTGAGTCATATTTCACATCAGAGCACCATCTTTCAACCACAATCCAAACCTGGTCTAAAATATTAACTTTGAAATACCGGTTTCTCTTCATTTTTAGTCTCTAGTTTATTCTTTAATTTTCTGGAGACAATATTCAATGTCGACAAATTTTTAAACATTTTTATTGCTGTCTATTTTTTGTTCTGCAGTAGGAATTAATTCCACGTGAAGATTATGGAAATTACAAATCTCTTTGTATTTGGTAGATGTATGTGCATTATTTGTGCTTATAATAATGTCTGATATCTGGTCGTCTCATGTGTCTGAGTTTGCTGCACATTTTCATTGAAATTCTTTCAATTATTTTATTAATCCTTGCTCCTTTGTTTTTTCATACACAGTTAGGAACTTTTAAATATTCATCAACAAAAACTGAGCATTGAATAAATGTAAGAAATGTGATGAATTTCAGAACAGTTAATTTTTTAAAAATCAAGTTTATAATAATCATTTTCATAGATATTAAATGTAACAGCTAGAATTATTCACAAGGCTATTTTTTCTGCTAGAAATCATTACCTTTTACTCTATAATTTCTTGTTTCTAGTTCATTCTCATGGAGAAATCATTTTAAAAGTTGCATCTTCCTTATCTTGATAGATGTTAGTCTAAAATATTATGGTTTGGGTTTTTTTTTATTTTCAAACTATTTTAAAGTTTCTGCCTTATAGCACTGATATAGGATATTTGTTTTATCTTTTTGATTTTCAGCTGTTATTTTTTAATTGTTTAGACTATTTTGAATTATGTGCTGGACAATATAAGAGATATTTGTTGTGATAACTTCTACTTGTAGATGGTAGTAACTTAGTTATAGGAAGATTTATCCTTTTTTACTCACAGTTGTATTAGAAGCCCACCTGTATATTCTTATTGCCAACTGGATTATGGTTATTGAAAGATGAGCTTGTGCATGATTCATCTCAATAAAAACTAATAGTTATTTATAATGAATATATCCAAATTGAAAATAAAGATAGATTTTAGACTTCATTAAGGTTAGTTGCTATTTGTTCACATATGTGTACATATATTTGTTCACTTTTTTTAAAAATTAATTTATTTGTTTAAAATTTCCACCTCTTCCCATCCTCCCAATTCCCTCACACTCCCGCCACTACCCCTCCCCCTCGCTCTCCAATCCTAAGAGAAGTCAGGATGCCCTGCCCTGTGGGAAGTTCAAGTCCCCCCATCCAGGTATAGGAAGGTGAGCATCCAAACAGACTAGGCTCCCAAAAAGCCAGTAACATGCAGTAGAATCCAAATCCAGTGTCATTATCATTGGCATCTCAGTCTTCCCTCATTGTCAGCCACATTCAGAGAGCCTGGTTTGATCACATGCTCGTTCAGACCCAGTCCAGCTGGCCTTGGTGAGCTCCCATTAGATCAGTCTCACCATCTCCGTGGGTGGACCCACCCCTCGCTGTCCTGACTTCCTTGCTCATGTTCTCCCTCCTTCTGCTCTTCATCTACTCTTAAATCTACTTTTCATCTTTGGCAGTCTCAAATGAAATCTAAGAATGTATATTGTGATATTTCATTTTGAGATTGGCATTAGCTTCATCATTTGTTCCCCCTTTCCATGATTCTGGCGAACATTTCTCTTATCTTTGGATGTCTGCTCATTACACTGATTTACTTTATTATATTTATATTATGACCTAACCTCTTATGTAGAAAATAATTGATTCTTGAAAAGCAAATACATAGAAATTAGAGAATTCAATAAGGAAACATGGGGCCTAAACTTGAGGAACTGGGGAGATGGCTCAGAGATTAAGAGCACACACTGCTCTTGCAGAAGATGAGAGTTCAGCTCCCAGCATTCCCAGCTCACAGTTGCATGCATTTATCTCCAGCTCCAGGGGAGCTGTCTTCTTCTGATTTCCCCGAACAACTGTACTCATGCACTCTTCATCAAATTACATGATAGTTCTCAGGAATAGAACATGGTAGGAAAGCAAACATTTGGAATTTAAGTTTTATTTAAAAAGGATTTTTTTTATAAATTTATTTATTTATTAAAGATTTCTGTCTCTTCCCCGCCACTGTCTCCCACATTGAAGCACCGGACAGAAATATCAAGGTCCAAATCAGGAGCAGAAGGAGAGAGAGCACGAAAAAGGATTTTTTTTAAACACGTTACTTAATTGTGTTCTTTAGGTCATGGTACTCTTCAGTGTCTGAAAGAAACTTCACCGTGGACTTTCTAAACTTCATGGAGTTTTGTGAGAGCACAGTATACCACTCAGATTTTAATTCTTCAAAATCCTTTCTTTTGGGTTTCCCATCTAAGCCACTTGAAGATGGAGAAAACATAGCTTCAAACACGAACTTCAAAACACGGGAAAAAGCATTTCTTACTTTAGTAAAATTTATGGCTAATCTAAATAAAGTCACAGGTATGATTTTGAAGTATGAGTGAAACCTAAATGAGTCAAAGCCACATGAGATCTGAATATTGAATAGCTCACTCAACAGGAATTGTTATGTATCTATTATATTTTAGATAAATTGAATGTAATTATAAAAATTGAAGAAACAGCACATTATTAAAAAAGCAACAGAATAACTGTATAAATAATTACAGTGCATTTTCACCCATGTAATTTTGATATTCTGATAGTGCTTATATTTTCTTAACTATCTTCAAATATTTGTGTTTTAATTTTTACAGATGGCTGTTTTTTTATGGTTTGGAAGTCGACTGTGGAATCTACACAACTACGTCATTCTTTGGGACGTTTCCTTATTGAAACTCTTTTGCTAATGCCCCTTAAAGCATAGCCTAAAACTATTTTATTACATGTTGAACATTTTAATTCCATATTAAAAAGCAATTAAATATTATAGTCAGTATTTTATAATTTTTCTGTTTCTTTCTATCCAACTTGTGCCTTCTTATTTTGATTTATTAGCCAGTAATGATTTTAGCTGAATAATTATATGGCTAACAAAAGTCTAATTAATTTTATTGAATGCTTGAGTTACAAGTAAACATATCTTATGTTATTTATTTGTCTTCATTTTCCTAATTTCTTTTGCCCAAATGTTGTCCATTTTACTATTTCAAATTTAGATATTCTGTTGGCCAGATTTATTTGAACTTGACACAAACTATAGTCATCTGAGAGGAGAGAACCTCAATGAAGAAAATGTTTCCATAAGATTAGAGCTGTAGGCAAGTCTGTAGGTCATTTTCTTAATTCATGATTGATGGGTAGGACCCAGCCCATCATGGGTGGTGCCATCTCTGGTCGGGTGGTACTAGTTTCAATAAGAAAGCAGACTGAGCAAGCCATGGGGAGCAAACCAGTGAGCAACTCACCTTTATGGCCTCTGCTTCAGCTCTTGCCTCCAAGATTGTGTCCTTTTGCATTCCTGTTCTGATTTCTTTTGATGATGAACAGTGTTGTGGAAGTATAAGCTGATTAACCCTTTCTTCCCCAAGTTAATTCAGTCATGGTGTTTCATGGTAGCAATAAAAACCCTAATACACAGATATTATGTTTCTATTTTCATTTTTTTTTCTAAAGAAAAATTCCACGATAGTTAGGTAGCCAGTAAGGTACAGGGGATAGAAGAGGATCTTTTGAGAAAGGAGAAATAGAATATAACGTTATGAAGGGATAAAGGGGAAACTGGAATAGGAGGATTAAATAGGAAAAGGTATGGGAGGGCAGAGTAGAGGATGGAATGTGGGAATGTGGGTATTAGTTTTAAAAAACTTCTGAAAGTCTATATGGAAACCCATTCCTGTAGATACTTCCTATATAAAATCCATATATCTATATGTAGATATATATAGCTATAGCTATATGTTGATACTGGATACACAGAGCTAATAACTCGTTTATCGTGTGTGTGTGTGTGTGTGTGTGTGTGTGTGTGTGTGTGTGTAAATTTTACACGGACTTAACCAGATTAAGGCAGATAATTCCTCACCTTGATATCATATGCTACCAAATTAAACCTTTACTATCAGGTAACATGCACAGCACCGGGAAAGGGTTAAATCTTTTTGAGTTTAAATCAAAGCTGTCCTATAGATTCCCCCCAAACCTAACAGGCCACTGCAAATGCAATTGGTTACCTTTCGGGATATAATGGCAAGACCATGTTGCTGATGATGCCACATACTAATGTCATTGAACGTGGAGAAATTAAGCTGATGCTCGACTAGAAGCTTGACTACTACTAACTAGAGTTCATAATGCTCTCTCTGTATATAGACAATATCATAAGAGAAAAGTAATAACCTCACTCAGCTTCAAACACCTGAATATCAGTAGCAATCTGCCTGCCACATATGCCACTGGTAGCAACTTCCTGAAATATATACAAATAACATGAATAAAATATATGAAGGTGATCTTAATAAAATTGCCAGCTAATTGGGGAAACATAACCACAATTGACTATCTCTTGCCACCAAACTAAGCTTCCACTACCCAGTAGTGGGACTGAGTTATATCCAATTGAGTTGTTGGCCAAAGAGACCCCATGGAAATAATCAAACAATCCAGACCATTGACAAGACTATAGATTTTTCTCCACAAACTTAAAGCAAGGCCACATTGACGAAGACAACACATACAGAACTCATTGAACATGGAGTTGTCGAGCTGGTGCCTATGTAGAACTTTCACCCTTACATTCCAGCGTCTTTGGTACAGGAGCTCTGCATGCTTTCAAAAGAGAGAAAAATACCGAGTCAACCACAAAATCTTTATCTACAATGGTCTATTATCTGCATGATATGCTAAAGCTTTGGTGGTACAACCCAATAACTGATTTTCTTAAGACCCACTCCATCTGATGGAACCCATAACTGGTGGTATTTAGAAAACCAAAAACCTGAGATGAAATAGCATAGCGACCTGGGGTAAAACCAAATAATACTTTTTCAAAATTAAAAAAAAGAAAAAAGAAAAAAAGCATAGTGATAAAATGACTTCTAATGACATTCTGCTATACTTAGTGCTTTGTTCAGCTATCATCAGAGAATCTTCCCCCTGCAGCAGATAGGAACAAATATAGATACCTACAATCAGACAATATGCAGAGACTGAGAGACATGGAACATGCAGTTCTAAATGGGAAATTTCCACCACATCCCTCCTCTCATAGCTCCGGGACCATTGTCTCCCCAGAAGAGGAGGCAGAAAGAGTGTAAAAGACAGAGGGGATGGAGGACATGAAGAAAACATATCCTTCTAAATCAACATGAGCAACGCTCATTTGAACACACAGAGATATCATATATCACATATAGGTCTGCACCAGGTCCTCTGCATATATATTATGGCTTCCAGTTTAGTGGCTGCTATCTATATAATTCATCTTCTTGGAGGGAATGAAATGTATTTTGAATTGAGTTTGGATGTAATATGCCTCCTTATGCACCAGGAATCATATACCAGGAAACTTTCCCCCAAATTGTATTATGTTTGAATGTGCTAGCATTAAACCATCTGGTATCAGACTCTCAAAGACTGATCCAGTCTGACACAGTCAAGCTGAACTGAGCTTTCATTCTTACCTCTTAGAGGATGATTCTGCTACTGGATATGATGCCTGCAAGGACCTCCACATCTTTTCCTTCCTATTTTTGTCTTGCCCAGCTTAAAGGTGATCATTTTACTTTATCTTACTATATATTATTTTGTTAGATACTTTTAAAATGAATGCATGAAAACCTAACCACTAGGGTAACATCAATAACTGAACACTTATACTTCCTGAGAAAGGGAAAATCAGTTTTCTCTAAGAGAGTGACACCAATCTCAGCCACTACAGGACAGCCCTCGTGTCCAGGAGTAGCTGAACTACAGCTTTGCAGGGTGCTTTCATTGATTTATACTTTGGAAATCTTTTTTTTATTTTGTTTTTCTTGTTTTTTTAAAGAACAGTTTTATTGTTTTTTCTTGATTGAGGGTCATTTGTTGTACTGAACTTTTGTTTAGTTTTTGAGAAAGAACTTAAAGTTGGATGGGTAGCAAAGGGAGAGAGGATCTGGAAGGATTTGAAGGAGGTGAAGAATATGATAATAACATATTTAAATTTGAAAATTGTTTTAAATAATAAAAATTATAATGGAAAAAGTTATGCCACTGGTGCAATAGTGGCACAAATGTTATGAGAGTAACCAAGCACTTTTTAAAAATTTGGGTTTAAGACACAGCTTCACATTTGTCTTGATGGCTAAGGAGCTGTTTCCATCACTCATCAGCCAACATTGGACCATACACAGCTATCCCAGAGTGATCACAGGTATAGTTGTATAGCTACCTAGCACCAGAGACTAACTTCCTGGTATCATGAAGTTATGTGTCTGTCTACATGACTACCAGCTGTGATATGGACCTCAGAGCATTTCTGAGACAGTACAGATTGATGTGACTGTGTGTTTATCCATCTCATCAGTACCTCAGGTGACCATAGGATAGACAGCTTTCATTACTACTACCACAATTTCAAGAATCATAGCCTGGAACAAGAGCCCATTCAAAATAGGCATTACTAGATAGTAAGCATGGGACTTTCTCTTGAAACTTAGTGCTTTATTGTAGGGGAAGCCCAGCTCAATGGGAGGCGTGTTCGCCTCGGGCTAATGTTTATGTATAAATCTGGCAGGCATCAGGCCCACTGGTCCTTTTTGTATTTCCTGCCCATCACTGGATCCCTGGTGTTGTAAGCTATCACTTCATTAAAATTTGCTGTTTCATATTAAGCTAGCCTGGTTATTACACCATATACACTGTATCAGTAAAGCCTAAATCGGGGAAGATCCCACTTGTCCTCACCCCTGAGATTCCCTTCTGATAGAACCTTTGGACAACTTTATCAGAAGCAAAGCAAACAGTCCTACTCTAATAGGTTTCTGTTCTTTCCAACATTTGTAACTGGTTGCAATGATCTTAAGCCATGAGTCCATGTCATAACAAGATGGGCCTCAGTCTTTTCCTCTGTATTGTTCAGTGGCAATGCCAAGCATTTTGAGGGCACTACTTTACAAAGTTCACACTACTTGACCAAGGAAGTTGGGGAAGGGCCCCTGGGTTTTATCCCACTGGTGAGGTCCTAGAGAGTGGGGCATCTGGCTCTCTGGCCCTGTGGTTGTTCACTCACCTCTTAGGTACCCTCAGTATTGGTGCAAGCTGTGTTTAAGGAAGTCTAAGAAAACTTTTTTTAAAAAGGGGCTTCTAGACCCACAAAAGCAGGATCCAATTGTAGATTCTTGCCAGTTGCATATGTCAGACAGGCTCTGTTTGTTGGTAGCAAGCAGAGGAGTAACTCTTTAAAGAGAAGGCTTCCTGAGTCAGCAATAGCAACAAAATTTTTTTGGCTCCTTTAAGAAACAGCTTCCTGGTTTGTGCTGGTGGCACAAACAACTCTGGCTCTTTCAGGAGGTCCTGTTATGGAGTACTTAAATGGGATTTATGAGCAGCATTCTGCAAATTGCTTTATGGTGGCTGTGTTCCTGGAGTTGGGTGGTGAGCATAGCTCACTGAAGTGGTGGACATACCTCCTCCATGTTGGATGAGGCAGAGCCAACAGGCAAAGCCACAGTGTTAGTCCTAGCTATGACTGCTTAGCATTTAAAAAATGTGCTCCTGTTCAGAAAATGATCACAGATATACAATAAAGACAGATTCAGACAAAATAAACCTCTAAATGCATCACAGAGTATTTAAAAAATGTACATAGGCTTAAGAAAAAAAAATGAGTATAGACAGTTATAGAAAGAGTTTCAAAAAGTAAAGCATTCTTTAAAGAGACAATATAAGTAGTATAAAAGAGTAAAGTCATTGATTAAAGGAGTAACAATAATAAAATAAATATTAAAAAGTAATAAAAAATAAGTCACATAAAGATAAAAAATACACAGAGAGCCTGAATTATGCATACTATTAAATTTTCTTTGGACTTTTTGACTGTTATTGAGTTAACTGCTGAAGAAGATTTGATTCTGGAGGCTGTTAAGCTAAACCAACATATATATTTTAAAGATATCTTGACTTCAAAATTTGAGTATAAGGATATGTTACTTTGGAAAAGAGGCACTGCTTTTATTTCCACAGAAGATAAGAACCTGTAGATTCCTTCCAGGCTAATGGTTTGATGGAACAAGAGCCCCTGAAATGTTTCTATGAACCTTAAAAATACTTTTAAAAAAAACTTAAAAAAAGCAGGTAGCAGTTTGGAGAAAACAATGCCCAAATTCCCAAAATAATTGTTTATAAATGTTTGTTTTCATTTAAAGGCAGTTGATTATAAGTGATTAATGGTCATAGTCAATTTCTAAAAAGAAATATATTGGTCTATTGATACAAATTTAAGGTCAATTTTGTCACCCTGTGTATATGTATTTCTGCTCTTATTTAAATGTGCTTGCGCAGCTCATTTAAAAATGTAGTGTATAATTACAAATTACAGATTAATTGTCATTCATAATAGTCAAACTTGTAGTTAATTAAGTT